GGCTGGGCAGGGGCCTCCCCAGCACCCCCGTGCGTTCTTCAGCCACTGCCCCTGCTCTGCGCCCCGTGCGCCAAGTGTCGCTCACATGCCAGGAGCAGCAGCAGGATGGTGGAGTAAGTGTCGTCGGCACTGGGGAGTCTCCCCGTTAGTCAGCTGGACACTGGGGCCCCAGAGAAGAGCATCAGTGTTCACTATATTGAGCCAACCAGCGAGGGTTATGGAATAAACACGCGTCTCTTCCAGGCATTTTGAAAGCAAAGGCAACTTCAGGGCCCTGGAGAGGACACTCCTTTGGATTTTATTTTACTCCCTTTTTTAAAAAAGTAGAATTGTTCATGCCCCTTGTCATGGCAGGTGACCATGCAGGTGGCATAGCCAAGCATTTAAATGAAAGAATGCCAGCTGACTCTGCAACCTTCACTCTGGCCATTGCCTGCATCATTGTCACGAGATATTATTTTGCATATATACAGTGTCTCTGTTCCCTTTAACTTTATATATGGATGTAGCCTCTTGTACTGCTATGTATTACAGCCTGTGCATGTGATTATCCTACTTCAGCTCTGCTATGTTGTCTAACACCACCGAGTAATATGGAAAATAGTCTGTAGTAGATGAGCATTTACTGCAATGCTAATTCTTCAGTGACCTAACAGTCTTGGTGGCTTTTTTTGTTAATACATTTTACTCTAAGTACACTGTTAATAGGTAATACAGTCATTATTTAGCCTTTGGAAATACACAGCTTTATTTCAGCCTCTGGAAAAGTTCAATTTTTTTATGATTTTTCTTGCCTAATTAGAAACATATAGGTACTCTTCAAATCAGTTGTAGACTTGAATGCTTGCTCACTTAAAGAAGAGTATATAATAATCTGTTAAAGGAAGTGCCTGTACAACTCAGGAAAAATTGCAGTTGATCTTTGAGGATAGAAAGATATAGAATTTGCTCTTTTAAATGAAGAGAAACCAAATCACTTGTTTCTAAATGGTGTTTATGCATCTTGGTTTGTGTTTCTCAGAGAACAAGCTGGGCGATAGTGGCATATAGCCTGGCTCTACAACTCTTGGTCCAGTGGTGTAGCTAGGGATGGAAATGTATGTGGGCTCCAGCTTATGGTGGATGGGACATGACTAAAGGTCCAACAAATTATCTGTATAGTAAATGATTTAATACTGTCTCAAACCACAAGCATATCATAGCCTGTTTTATGATTTCTGAGCTCTTGCTTTCAGGGGCTATTGTTCAAAAGGAAAAGCCTGATGATAAAATTACTACGCTAGGCATTCGTAGGCTTAGATTTAGGTAGGCTGCGGTGATGCTGATGACTGTCTTACTGGCTAGAATAAGTGCTCGTGAATCGTGCCTTTGAAGACGATGGGATTGCAGACACTCGGGCTCAATAGCTCTTAGGATTTAGCATCAGGAGCCGTTCTTGGGAGATACTTAACGCCCTGTGGGCTAAACTCAGGCGCACCAGACTCAGACTCAGACTTCAGAGTGAGTCTCTCCCTGCTGCCTTGGCCTTTGTACTCAGAGGTTTGAACCTCTAGACTAACTCAGTAGGTGACGCATGAGCAGTTTACTTTGTGAGATGTTCGGGCCAGCAGGGAGCCGGGTGCCCGGGAGAGACTCCCCTGCAAGACGTGGAGCAGGCGAGCTGTAAGTGCCCTACACGGCCCCTTACCTCACCGGACGTGTCTGTGCTGCACTGCTCTTCCCGCGCACTCTCGAACAGGCAGCCCTAGCTAGAACCGCCCTCAGTTCTTGGGGCTTGTGCCAGGGTCTGTCGTGCTCCCTCCCCTCGCAAAGCAGCCTGGAAAAGTCCTGAAGGGGCAGGACAGAAACAGACTCAGAGTGAACCAGCGCTTCCCTGTGCTCGGGGAGCCAACTTGCTCCCACTGAGGACTTCAAATGATTTACTCGTGAATGCCCCTTGGGCCCTTTGAGTTGTTTCTGTTCTGCTCACACCGTCCTCGAGTGCCCCCGGTTCAGCTTCATCCGCAAGGCACCACTGCAATGCTTACATCTGCCCCCGGACCGTTGTCCTTACAGCCTCCCGCCAGCGCTCCTCCCATCGCTGTATCGCTCTTCTCCTCGGGGTCCAGGTCTACTCAGTTTTCAGTTCGTTTTGTTTTAACAGCTCCTGATGCAAGGAGGTTTTTCAACTAAGATTTGGTCCGACTGTCAGATGCTTGCTGAAATTTGGTGGGGGGGTGGGTTTTGTAGGCGCTAAAGTGGGGAAGGGAATGGGATAATCCTTCTGCCCTTTTTTGTTGGTTTTTCTATGTAATGCAGAACTAACAGCCCTCTCTCTCTTTTGAATTTCAGACCCAATGTAAAAATGTCTTCTTCACCCATCAGGGGAGAGCAGTGCTTATAGGCTGTCTTCACCCATCAGGGGAGAGCAGTGGTGGTTTGTCTGAACCCAGCCTATTGTGTTCCCTTCAAATAAAAACCAAAACATTTTAAGAGCAGCTCCTCTAGCGAGGATTTAAAAAGAAACCTGTGATTAAAAAAAAAAATAACCAGAAAGGTCGTCTTATATAGAGCCAAAGCACTGTGTATACCAATGTTTTTATTCTTTTAATTTAAAATTGTATTAACTTTTCTTTGGTACAAAAGCATAGTTAAGGGGATTTATGCTGTTTTGACTATTCAAACGTGTTCCTGATTATTTGTACTAAAAATGACTCCAAGGTTATTAAAACGTTTTAGGTCATTATTGACTTCCTGACGTCTTGTCCTTTAAAATCCTCACCCATTAGACAAATTCACCACGAGCCATTGTGCCCGCGCTTGTACATCCGCACACTGGTGTGCACTGAGGAAGGAGATTCCTCCTAGACTTTCTCCCCGCTTGGATACTTGCTGCTGGCTCTCCAAGGTCGTAGGACATCTTCTCCCAGACCTACAGGCCCAGATATTTAATAGGGGCAAAATGTCCCGTTAGGGCACTCGGCTGGTAGAGGGGTGTCCTGAGTTGAAACTGGTTTATATTAGACAAAAACCAGGGACAAATCTGAGAGTAGGACCCAGGACCACGACTCGTCCCTGCGAGCTCCGTGCCCTTAGCACAAGGCCACAACCTCGTGGTGGTTCTCCCTGGCCCCTGGATACCCACCGTCCTGCCGGGCATGCCCTTGGCAGTGAGGCATGTGCGATGGATCCCCTCGGGCTGACCGTGTGTCCACATGCTGGGCCTGTGCTGCAGGCGCTAGGGAGGTAGCAGCAGCACCAGCCCCCATCAAAAGAGGGAACCTGCCCTGTTCCTCAGAAAATGTCTGTAGGCGCCTGCCTTCAGGGCACGATTCTTGGTGCTCGGTCCCCAGAGAGGGAGACGCGGGCACCTGCCTGCTCCTGAGCACAGAGGGGACCCCAGACTCAGCATCTCCATGGGTTACTCCAAGCCACTCCCGGCTCAGCACGGATTCCCTTGGGGTCTGAGAGGAACCTAAACCCCCTGTGTAATGAGCTGCGGCCCAGCTGGCGGTCGTCAGGAATCGGGCTGAGTCCTCCCTCCGAAGAGCCTCAGCCCACACCAGCTACCTGGTCTCTGGCCTGTGTGGACCCCTAACCCTGACTCCGTGGCCTTGGCCCTCCCAGCCTGTGCCCTGATCAGGACTCGCTTCAACCCTCAGTTGCTCTCCTGCATTGGGACTGACAGCTTTGACCGTGCTCCCCTCCACGTGGAGCGGAAGTCAGAACCGAGGCCCGCTGTGCCGGCACGTGGGACTGTGGTGCCTCGGCGTGGGAACCACGGCAGCTGCGAGAGGGAAGAGCTGCTCAGCCCAGACGGGAGGAAAATGCTGCTGACAGAGGTAGGTGTTTCTCTCTTGGGGCGCTCAGCCGGGAGGGGAAGGATGGCTTCCAGGTTCAGTCCCAAGGATAGGTCGATGCAGTCAGCGGGTCCTTGGAGCAGGCCCTAGGTCTCCCTCTCCTGGGTAAATGCCCTAACCACTAGGCTACAGACCCCTGCCTCCTCTTGCTCCCTCCCTCTGGCCCAAGGAGTCCTGGACTCTTTTCCACACCTCTGAACAGTCCCCTTGTGCAGAGCAGCCTGTGGGCTGGTGGGTCTGGCGCCCAGGAGCCAGGAGTCTCCGCAGGTTGGGTGGATCCAAGCTTTGGGAAGGGGACGTGGGGTGCAGAGCTGGCTGCACCCCAGCTCCCAGCATCCCCGGGTGGGCAGATCGCATGGAGGAGCAGCACCAGGGGACATTTTTAAGTCCCCCATGCAACTAAGACCCTTCCCTTCCCCTCTGCACTTGGCAGCACATTCCCTCTGTTCCTGCTCCCCTCCTGGCCAGGCTGCTGCTGCACAGGGTGTGCTGGGTGTGCTCTGCACATGCCTGCCCGGCCAGGCCCTTGGGGATTTAGGCACCTGCATATGCAGAGAGAAACTTTCAGGTGCCCAGGAAACTTTTGAGCTCCAAAGTGAAGGGCCAGCGGAGTTTCAACCCTGCCAGGGTCAGACAGCAGCTGAGCAGGGGTTTCAGGACTGCAGTCTTGGATGAAGTCTTGTAAACTGAGACTTAGGCCACGTGGAAACACCTAAGTGCTTTTTTAGAGTCCCTTCCCTTCTGGCCTAATGCTGAGAGTGAGGAGGCTTCGAGTTCAAGTCTCACTTCTCCAATTTATCGATGTTATTGCTTCGTAGTCCTAACTGCTGAGAAGGGACTTGGGTATGGCTCCCCCATTTTACAGATAGGTGACTGAGGACCAGGGAGCTTGCATAGCTGCACTGATGGAGCTCACTCTGGAAACTAGGGTCCCCCCCCGCTGAGTCAATTCTCACACATAACCCCACCACCTCCCAGAAAAACTCAGACCTGAGTTTGCATGGACACCTTTGCAAAGCACTGCGAAATACCAACAGGAATGGTGGCCTCTAGTGAGATTATCAATCCCACTTTGCCCTTGTCACTCCTTTCTGACTCGAGCTATTAACCAAGTCATGGAGCTGTGGGCTGTTTCCATTCAGAAAAGATCCTGAGGCTGGAGAACCGTGCTGTGAGCTCTTGGAGAGCATGGCGAGGTGCTCTGTCTCCTAGGTCTTTGCTGCTTTTAATTCTTGCCTCTGCTCATTGACTCTGCAGCAGACAGCAACTCAGGCCAAAGTTTCTTTTCCTAGGACTTGTTCTCTTGCTGACTCCCGCAGTTGGCCTCCCAGAGCCAGAATGCCCATTCCTTATTTTCTTCCACTTTTCAGCCTAGTGACTAAACAGAACATTAATTATCCAAGTCTGGCTGCACAGGGTCATTTAAGATGCTGTGCAAAAAAAAGCTTTAATCTCTTTGGAGTGAATTCAGTGTTTGGACTGTGCCTAATTGGGTGCAATATTCTAATTGGGCACAAAATAACCTAAAGTGACTTTTGTGTTAAGATGCTCCGTAGGTGCAGAAAGCCAGCACACACAGCTCTATCAAGCAACATAACCAGTTGTTGCAGGAGGAGGTGGGTTTTCTCGGCTTTACTGTTGTCATCTTGCTCGCCGTGTTATTGAAGGGTAATCTGCGGTCCACAGCTGCAGCTGGGAGAGATTTCTGTGTCTCTGCCCTTCATGGATCTCTTTGTAGATCCATCTGCAAAGTTAATTTAAGATGCACGTGTACCAGACTAGCCAGAGACGTCCATCCACACAGCAGAGCAGCAGTCGTGGCCTTCAGATAGCTTCACTCCAGACAGCAAGGGCCAGGGTTTTCAAATGTCCAGCTCCCTTTGCAATACTGGGGATCAGGTTGTGAAGGGAGACCCTGACGCTGTCCTGAGCCTTGTGCTCAGCATGGGGCAGCCATGGGTCCTAGGCCTACCTCTCTGCATGACCTCCGCTGCCGCCCCATGCTGAAGTATTTCAGGGATGGAAGAAGAAGAACCTGCGGCTGGCTCTCGTGACACGAGGCCTTGGTTCCCAGAGCCCAGGGCTCGGGAATGGCCGAGGTACTTGACTTTTCCTGTAGGCAAGGCAAAGCTAGTGTCTGTATCACAAAGCAGCAGATGTCTGAAAAACAGCAACCAAACAGAAGAGAAACTATCCAAGTTTAAAACGATAAAAGTGACCCTTATCAGAAGAAAACTCATCGTGGCCAAGGGCCCACAACACTGTTCCTTTCTCCCATGGCCCTGGGAACTCGGGCTCCTGGATATGCATTGGTATTGCAGGGAACCCCTGAGAAAGGGCCTCTCTGTCCTCATCACAATGTGCTCCATGCAACTCTGCTAAGTGGGCCCCCAGACAAGGCGTCCACTGGCTGAGGGCCATCCCAAGAAGATCAAAACTCAAAACAGAGAGCTATTTCAAGCCTTTGCTTAGCAAACAAGCTATCTGACAGTCCCATCTCACAGAGGCAGCAGAGTCCGGGAAGGCATCAAAGAGGCTGGACGGCAGCACTGTGGCTTCTGGATAAAGGGGAAAATTCCTTCCCAGCCCCACGTGGCAACCAGCAAGGCCCAGAAAGGCAGGTGGAAGCTGCACGATGTCCACGACTAGCTGTCCATGACTAGATGATGACCGTGCAGGCCGATCACTCACCGAGGCCCTGCTCCTTCCACGTGACCACGTTGCTTGGCTTTCGCCCGGCGTCCAGCTTCTTTGCAGCTGGAATCGAAGTTCTTTTTCATTTGCTTCCCACGGGAGTTTGGACCTGCCCGGGACAGCGCTCTAGCCACCGAGCCACAGGCAGGACTTGTCCAGAGCTGCCGGCCTCTGGCACTTCCTAGCCACCTACTTTTTGTGCCTTAGATGCTGGTAATCGGCAGCGCCAGGGGGCATGCGTATGTGGCTGTGTACCCACGTGGCCAGTGTATACCCTGCTGCAAATGCTCAGTCTACATACATAGACACGTGTCCACACTGCCAGGGAACCAGAATCACTGCTGCTGGAGGTGGCATTTGGGACACTTACATAGGTAAAAAGCACTATTTAGAAGTCCACAAGACAAGAGAACTGCAGACTAGGTGAGCGTAGGGCAAGAACTACCCTACTAGCAAGTGCTGCATGTGCCCACAGCCACCAGCCAGGCCCCTTCAGATGCCCAGCCTTGATTTTCAACCTGTTACCATTTAATTACAGGGGCACACATCACATCTGAAAATGCAAAGTACATCTGACATGACCTGGAAAAACTCAAAATAGTCCAACCCGCACGTTGGCTTTGAGCACTGCTTTCTGCAGACTGTGATCAGGTGATTGCAGGCCCCCAGTTGGTTGTTTTGGATCAATCTGATTTTACCTTCTTGGCAATTTAATAACTTTCTGAAACGCTCTCTTACCCTGGGCTGTGGCGTCTGAGAGGTTTGACCATCTCCCCTCCAGGGACCAGCAGCTATGAATCAGGCTTGCACAAAATAAAGGTAATAACCTTCCTAAATCCCTCTTCATTGCTAGCAGGGCACATTACTGTCAGCTGGAGAGGCTTGGGAGTTAAAAAAATCTGAGCCTGGGCTAACTTTCCATCCAGTTTCCTGCCCTTTGCTTTGTCTGTTCTTTAAAGCAATCTTGCCATTAATCTGAGGCTTTAAATGATGCTGATGGAGCTGCAATAAAATGTGCAGTAGCTGCACAGAAAAAGTCAGCAAGGAGCTGTATTGCTAGGAGTTAATACTGGGTTGAGTAATATCCCATTTTCATAGTCCAGCACAGAGCAAGGCAGCTGAATCGTAAGGGAGGCTGTTGAATTACCAAGATTAGCTTGCATTGTGATTCTGGTTATAATAAATTGGTATAT